AAAAAAAAAAGAAGAAAGAAAGGAGGGGGATAAATACGGCAAGGGATGATAAATAGAATTTGGTTTTGAATTGGAGGAACAATATTGAACAGAGACGAATGGGTAGCAGTAATTTAGCAAAAAAGGAAATGGAAAAAAGAGTAAGGGAGAGAGAGAGAGAGAGAGAATAAGTCAATTTTGGTTTTTCTTGGAATTTCTGAAATTTTTCAAAAAAAAAATGTCATTAAGTATCCCATATAGGGGTAGTAGAGTACTTTTGCAACAATAGGGGAGGTATGTGTAATTTTAAAATGTTAAGGGGAGCTTTGTGAAATTGATAGAAACCTCAGGGAGGTTTCTAAAATTATCCCTAAAATCAATTCGGAGAGACATTTACATGGTGAGCCAGATTCCAGATTTTGTTTCTTTTGATAAAAAAAATGCACCAATAAATCTGAATTTCTTTAAATCTTAGCTGATCACCTAACAGTCAGATTGTATGAAAGGTGAAATCAGTCAGCGATTACGAGAAACCTTGCAGATGGGACAATAACCTGTGGTATAGTGAATATGGAATATTTGTTTCCATGCTGCTCTATTTAAAAGAAGATGATTGCAAAACACAATATTATATTGGCTACTTTCTCATTTTTTTTTCTTCTGAAAAAAAGGGACATGAACTCCCAATTTGTGGAGTACAATTTAAATCTTGTGGTTGGGCAGTATAACGCGTTGCATAATTAGCCAAAAGATTTCTTAAGTATTTGTCCCATCGTTAATCTATCAAATAATTTGGATACAATTCAAAAAAGAATTGATTTGGATACGACTAGTAAATTTACTGCAATATGACTTAAATTTATCAGTCGGGGAAAGCACAATTAAACGGTATCCGGGAGAAGCTGACAAATAAAAGGTGAACTCGAAGGATTGATAATTATATAACCCGATTTAATTAGGTTTGATTAGATTTTACATATCACACAAATTATCTTATTCATTATAAGTTCGAAACAACTTGTAACTTTACTTTAGTAGCCTTTTATTCTTTTTTCTGCTTCCTTTCTGTCTTTCTTCTCTTTTCTTTATTCTCTACTGTCTTTAGGGGAAAAAAAGTTTACCTAATGGAACACTTCGTTCAGTTCATTTGGGTTAATTTAAAGGTCAATAATTGAAGCTCCAATGGTCTTGAACAACTCAAAATTGGGTTTTTGCAAAGCTTTTGAACAGTGGAGATAAAATAATATTACATTCCAATAATAATAATAATAATAAAAGAGTGGTACATTACGAAGTAAGTTTGTGTATATAAAATAGGGCAAATTACATTTTACCCCCTATAATTTAGTATTTTTGTACATAACTTTCTTATGGTTTCAAAAACTATACATAACTTTCTCATGATTTGGATTAAAATGTCAAAATGACGGAAACGATCATTCGTAACGGAACATTTAAAAATGTCGAAATTACCCTTATTTAAAAATTAAAATGGCTAAAGTGATCAAAATATATAAAGATAATATACATGACGCACTAACCCTGTATAGTTTTATGTTTTACTATATAACCCTCTTATGGATTAATACTTTACCATATAACCCTCTTATGGTTTTCAAAATATACACATAACCCCCCTATGGTTAATAAATAATTTTCAATTTTACATAGGGATATTTTTTATGGTTTAGATGACTTCATTATGGATTGCAAGTTCTGTTACTTCGACACTTTAATACAAATCATGAGAGGGTTATATATAATTTTTGAAATTATAGGGGGATTATGTACAAAAACACTAAACCACAGGAGTAAAGTGTAATTTTCCCTATAAAATATATTACCCTTTGTTTTTGAGCCTAATAAGTTGTATGCAAGCCAGATTTATTCCTCTCTCTTGTTCAATACCAGTTCTTGTCACCAATAACTTTAAGTCCTTTTTGTTGTTTGGCCTGAAGTTTGATGAACTATAAATGTTCGCGCAACTAGATCTACCCAAGATGGAAAAAGAATCTTTTCCACAAACATTATCCTGTGAAACGTCCAATAATTTCGTCAACCAGGTCACCATCACAAAATATGCTTCTTTACGCAAGGAAATACCAGCATAGGTCCAGGTAAGTCCAACTCCAACCTCTAGTAGTACACTTTATTGTTCCATTTTCGTACCTATATATGTACATTTACTAGACCACGGCTTGATAGGATCATTGTTGGAAGAAGATAGTTAAGCAATTGTTGGGAAAAAAGTTTGGAAACATGAATTCTTCTGTGAAGAATGTTGTTTGCTTCGTGGGATTTCTGGTCATCAATTCTTTTCTCCAAAGTTCAGCTGATCCCACTGATGGTTTCACAAATGTGCCATTAACAGAAGCAAATTTTGAAATCCAGAGGCCATACAATGTGCCATTGGATGAACGATACAGTTTCGAAAATGGGATTCGGAAGATGTGGGTTTATGCTAATGATAAGCCACATAGCCCTAATAGCGAGACACAACCACGCACGGAAGTTCGCATTCACGTAAATCAATTTTTTTCCCCCATAACAATGCTTCAAATACCACTGCATCTTAGTCTTATTATCTTTTCTCCTGTTCACTTGTGTTTTAACAGGCGGAGGCGTTAGTCAAGATATTTTGTTTTTTATTGTAATTCTTGAGAACATGGGATTTTCATGTGTCATTCATTTTTTTTCTTTTCAGAAAAAAAAAATTCAATCAACATTTTCTATTCAAGTTCCTAGCTTCCTGAGGGTAAAGTAAGCATTTGGTGAAAACTTTAATTCATAACTATAGTTTTTGCTTGACTAGAGTCTCAATATCTCCTATTATCCCTTAGTTTTGGAGTTTACCAAGTAGTAGTACATTCTTTCCATAGTTACCATTTGCATAAAAACTACACTAGCTTTTGTCAAGTGAGTGTGAACCAGTAACTGGTTCTAAAGTATGAACTTATGATCAGCTTTGATTTTTTCTTCTTCTTTTTTTTTTTTAAAACAAAAAATTTGTGTGCAGGGACTTGACTATACATCAGGAGTATGGCAATTTGAAGGCTACGGATTCGTGCCGAATGGAACCTCTGGTGCAACAGTAGCACAAATTCATGGTGCAGCCCATGATTCATCCACCATAATTCTGAGAATCTACAATGGTGACATGAGGTATTACAGTGGTGACGTGATTGCCACTGGCATGTACGATAGATGGTTCAAGCTCAATCTCATCCATGATGTGGAGGGAGGCACGGTCACAGTTTACATTGATGATGAGCAAAAGTTTCAGACACAAGATCGAGGGCGTTCACAATTCTACTTCAAGTGTGGAGTTTATGCTGCACCAAGAGATATCAGTTATTACATGGAATCACGTTGGAGGGATATCAAGATTTACAAGAAGTGATTTACCATCAAGATGGAAATTATGAGTTAATTTGCACCAAATGTCCAATTGTTGTTTGAGTTATATATACTATGTAAGAAGAATGTTGTTGAGTTGTATAAATCCCAATATGTATCAATTCGTGTGATGCGATTCAAGTTCTTGTTTTCCATCTGTGTTGCGAAATATTGTGAGGTGGTGATAATTCATTATTCTATGTTTTTGTGTTCTATTTCAGATTAAATTGACATGAACATTTCACCATTAAGACAATCAAAAGTATCAACACTAGCACACAATTAATAAATGAACTTATAATAAGGCATTGAATAGCCCCATAGGTAGTCCGACTGGTTTCATAATCTAGTAATTATCAGCAGGTTTCGTGATCGACTATCAAAAATACAACCTTAAGGGATTAGTCTAATCGAAAAGTTGGAATATCCCTAAGTGGAATTTTTTTTTAAAAAAAAAGGCATTAAATAACTATTTCATAGCGCTTGGAATGATTGTTAGTTTCATTAAGTGGAGGTCAACCTATTCTTAGCCATTGACATATTCAAAGCATTTTGCAATATTTCCTACTTCACAATTTAAGACTAACTCCATCTTGTAGAAAATGATAAAAAAGAAAAAAGAAATTTCAGCTTATTATCCTAAGGGTTGAGACTTCGAAGGTTGTGCTATGTCATCCCTGGTTTCTTAAAAATCCTAAAATCATATATGTTTATTGGTTCATATAAGAGAAAGACCTCCTCTATAATTAAAGAATACTAACTCCCTATACAATTGTAGAAGCATCAAAATATTTATAGCACAGAGTTTCTTAGGCATGAAATCTTCATGATCCATATTATTTTCCTCATTAAAAATATCAGTTGAATATCAATCTCCTCTCTCTCATTTTCCGACTACAAGATCAATAATCATTTTCTCAGAGTGATACAAACTAAACTTTGAACTCAGAAAAGGAAGACCATTTAGATGAGGATATTGTACAAGTGATTTTTCTTTTTTTGAAGTACGAAAAAAGTTTGAATAATTATGCATCGTTCATTATTATGGATCAAGGCATACAAGTGATTTGTGCACTCATGACATATGGGTTTTAGTCTGAAAAAATTGTTTATCCTAGAGAATTTAATTGGATTTCTTTCCATGTTCTTGAATTTAAATGAAGGCCGCTGCAAAATTCTACAAATTTAATGTGGAACAAAGTACGAGAACAAATGGTTGAGAGAATAAGGCACAGCAGTTGTCTGTATATTCAATCTTCCCCTGTTTCACATTGGTGAAAATTATACAACAGAGAAAATGACCCTTTATATAAAATGCCAGAAAATTATACAACAGATAAAATGTTACCCCAATTCCCCACCCTGGCAATGCAACAATATTATCTGTCAACCGTCTCTGAAGAGACCCAAAAATTCATCCTGGATTTCAACAAATTTACGTACCATTCACGTTTAGTAATACACAAATTACCTAGAAATTAATATGATTGCGGAGAAGAACCTTAGGAAACATCTCCTTTTCATGCAGACAATAAGAATCCTCCTATATAAATGGAGCCATGAAATTTCTCAACTTCAATCATCAAACAAAAGAGTTAAAAGAAAGATCAAGAATTTCCAGAAAAATGGGCATTTCTTGCTTGTATAGTCTACTGTTATTCCTAGTTTTGATTTCCTCAACGGGTCGAATTCTGTCATGTCTTGCTGATCCCACAGATGGGTTCACTGAGATACCATTAACTGATCGAAATTTTGATCTGCAGAAGCCATACAATGTACCGCTCAATGATCGATACAGCTATCAAAATGGAGTGAGGAGACTATGGGTTTACACCAATGACAAGCCCTTTAAACCTGATACTACTACCAGACCACGCACTGAAGTCCGAATTAAGGTCACTTTTCTACCATGTAATTCTGTATATTTTCTCACCACTTTGTTATAAAAAAGATATCTATATATGTGTGTGTGTGTGTGTGTGTGAAATCCTATACTAAACAGCATACGATTTTAAGTGACAGAAACAAACTAAAAGATGATCCACCTCCTTGATTTTAGAGATTTTTATATTTATATCTATCACTTAAAAATATCATAATTTTGATTTTCAGTTACTTTTTGTAGATTGACTATATATATAGAGCCTGAGACTACGTCATTTTTTATTTTTTTCCCTTTTTGTAAAATGGTCAAATTTTCTAACAGAAAAAAAAAAGAACAAAAAATCTACCATTAACTTCTTCTTATCTTCCCATCTTTTGTGTTTTGAACTCATTCATATTTATCCACTTTTTCTGCGCTCTTCAAAATTAGACAGTTTGTCAGAAGCTTCAATTTATGGCAGAGATGTTAAAATGCAAAACAAATAATATTAGTCACGACTATTTTTTTCTTTTCCTTTCTTCCTATTTTTGGAATCACCTTAGTCCACACCATTTTGTTTTCGTTTTAATACTTCCATTTGGAATGAAAATGATAATTATAAATATTTTTAATTTTATTAGATGCAAACCCATCGAGCGTACCTTAATCACTAGTAAAAATAAGATTCCAGACAATCCAATTTTAATAAAAAAACTCGTGTTCTAATTCTTTTTTTTTTTCCTATAATACCCGGTATTTTTACCGATCTTTCCCCCCCCCCTCTCTCTCTAGGGTCTTGACTACTCTTCTGGAGTTTGGCAATTTGAAGGCCATGCATACGTTCCTAAAGCAACTTCTGGAGTGACAGTAATGCAAATTCATGGTGCAAGAGTTGGTGCTACAAGTCTCCAACTGAGGATCTACGAAGGTGACATGAAATATTACAAGTTTGAAGTGGTTAACACAAATCTATACGATAAATGGTTTCGATTAAACGTAATCCACAACGTAGATGAAGGAAAAATCACTGTTTTCATCGATGGTGTTCAAAAATTTGTGAAGAATGATCAGGGGCCAGGTGACTTGTACTTCAAGTGTGGAGTTTATGCTGCACCAGCTAATTCAAGCAGCTACATGGAATCAAGGTGGAGAGATATCAAGATATATAAGAAATGATTGTTGCTATATATGCACACACACACACATATATATCTAAGGTGCATTAGATGGTGGTGGTCAAAAACTTCTTGTACAAAAACAATTATGTTACCAAATTAGCATCATGTAAAAGAAAATTGGGTTCTTTATCAACGGTGTTGAAAGTGGGACAGATGGAAATTAGATAATGACACAAGAAGGAAATGACAAAACTAGGATCCAGTGATAAACTGCACCCAGTATAATACAGAATAATTGTCTCATTTTTTTCCTTTTTTCAAGTTCTATGCCTCAACCTACTAGTCAAAACAATACTCTAGTTCTTCTATTCCACTCTAGCCTTTCTCCCAAAATTTTAAAAAAAAAAAAAAAAAGTTTGAAAGCCTATATACTGACCACTGTCCAACCCCACAGAAGGGTGGATCAATAAAATGAATGAATAAGACACTACTAATCAACTATCAATAGAGACCAAATCATACAACTATATCTACAAAAATCACTACTGATGTTGCAGCAGAAATTCTAGGAACCACAGGGCAGACAGCATAATCTGCCAATTTGAATGAACAGCCACTGCAAGAAATTTGGATGATCATTGTCCTCTGTTGATGCAATTGGTAATGGTAATTCTGGAGGCAAGTGCCGGTGAAATGCATCAACCGCAGTCGCAACACCATCTTCATTTTCTAACAACTTTGCTAGTTCCATAGCCAGAGATTTTACCTGGAAGAGATTCAGTTAATATTTGCAAGCATATAGAGGCAATAGATATTGCAGACCTCTCTCAAACAGGAGCAGGCTGATGTGAGTCAAAATATGGTGATTACCAAAAGAGAGTTTACAACTAACAACGAAAGAACAGGATGATGAAGGTGTAAAGTCGTAAACAATTCATCTTTGAGAAGGAGAACATAGTATATAGGGGATTACAGTTTCTAGATTTTTTGTTAATTTTTTTTCTAGAAGAAGAGGGGTGGGATTTAAGCAGGGAGGGGGATGGGGGATTATAGTTTCTAGTTGATATGCCGAATGTTTCATCAGAAAACAAAGAAAAAAGGCAAATTTTCTGCAAGGATAGAGTATGTTGAACTTTGACAGAAATGCAAAAATTTTATTTCCCTGTTCCAAGTCTTTAAAGTGGTCATCGGAGGCCAATTCCCTCAGCCATGATAGCAGATTGTCCTACACATCTAAAGCTCATGAAACCCACAGATCATTTAGATCTATTAAATTGATAACTTCAGGTCATTCATACATATAGAGATCCAGTAATTTGTGATCCTCTTAACCACACATGTAGAAGAACACAGCACCTCGTTCATCGTAACTAAGTTGAATGCCGTTATCAAAAATATTCTCAACCCCAAGCCAGTATATTACTAAACCTTGTTGGCCTTCCGTCCCATGAAAAGCCAAGGAACCCACTCCTATCTCCTCTCCTAACCAGGGATTATACGCTTGCAATGCATCTCGGTTTATATATCAACAAGAGCATACTTCTATGCTCTGATAAGATTACCTAATGACTCCATAACTAATCTATGAAACATAACCTCTTTCTGTCTTCATGTTCTGTGTCTTACATAATCTTTTGTCTAAAAATAGAGAACACAAACTTGCTTTGTTAACAATAGGGAATGCAAACATCATCAAGATGTTTATGCTTACTCTAAAAGGTATTTTGTCTGCAGGGGATTAGAATCGATCAAAACCCTGATCATTGAAAGCTAAATTCCTATCATGATACTTCAGAGCAGAAAATGCCATTATTTAAGCAATTTTTACTACACATCAACATCAAATGTTAAAATGAGAAAATAGGAATGCAAATGTCTTGCTAAGAAGTCTATTTTACAAGGAATAACAGACAAGGTTTTCCGAAAACGTACTAGTGGGAGGTTTAAAAATAACCTCATTTCACGCCAATTTAACATGATTATGCTACGTACCAAAGAAAACATGAGAAAAAGGAGATGCAAAACAAAATAAATAAATAAATAAATAAGTAAATAAATAGCACAACTAGCAGCCAACCTCCGGCTGGAGCATAAATCTTATGGCATCTGAGAGGGTTTCAGCGCTCAATTCAGATATGGGAATCGGTGCAGGTCCCAGTCCTCTTTGGTGAACTCTATCACCCCAAAAAAACTGATCCCCAAAGAATGGAACTATGGTTGTTGGACACTGCATATCACATAATTGAACTTACATGAGACAAAATACACCTTAAAATAATAAAATGTAGAAAATGGAAATGGCACTATTAAGTGTAATAGGTCAAACATGAAATGAACAACTACTTGCTTCACAAAGAGAATCATTTGCTATGAATATGACATGATATAAACTGTGAAAAGACAGTTAAAAAGACACAGATATGTAAAAGTGCTAAAACTTAAATTTAAAAAGCCAGTGATATAGAAAAGTTACCCCTGCCCTCAATCCTGTAGCTGTAGTTCCAGCACCACCATGGTGAACCTGCATGGTAGCATTACCCAGTATATGACAGGTGCATTAGAAGATCAAACAAAAGCAAGATGTACAGGCCCAAAGAAGTATCCCATCAATAATCGCAGTCAACACGGAGTAATCTATCAAAGGCATTTCCTCTCTGCCTCTCAACTCCAAGCCAGAAGGGTGTGACATTGCTAGATCTATGTACATTTCACACGCTTATATATATGCACAAACTCAGCAGGAGCTCAACAATACAGATCTTTTACTTATTTAATAGGGGGAGAGACTTTAGTTAAAAAAGAACTTACCACCGCTGAACATTGAGGGAATAGCCAATCATGGGGGCAATCAACAAGAAGAAAAACATTTTCAGGAGTTTCCACTGCAAAAGAATATAGAAAAACAAGTTTCTCAAAAACAATTTGGAGAGCATACATAATATGATGTGAGACTGCCATTCTCCAAAAATTATACAAGGATAGGTAAATTTAATGATTATAATGACTGTAAAAAGCTAAGACAAGTAAAAAACTGAAAACTGTAATGGCTATACATGGGTAAGACAAGTAGCTGCATCTAGAGCATCTACTTCCAAAGAAGAGAGCAAATTTGAAAGCCTAAGTTTTTCTAATTTTTCTTATGCTTCTGCATGTCTTCTAATTGGCTTCGTCTTTTTCAGTTGCGTGTGTTTCCCTAGGTTTTAAGGGTGACTTCTTCAAAAAGAGCAGAAGCATTTTCTTCTTCAAATTCACTTTCCGATTGGCAGGACCTCCCACTATGTCCTTTTGTTACTTCCTTTGTGTTGTTCTTCCTTTCTTCCCTTGCAGGTGGGTGGGGTAGGGGCTGGGGAAAGTTGCAAAAGCAGCCATTGGATCAGCCCAATTTAGTTGCTAAATGAGAATCAACTTTTTTAAGAACCTATAGCACATTATATTTGAGCAAGAGGCAACTGAAGGGACAAGATTGAACCAAATAACTTACCAGAACCTAGATCTCCCCATCCACGATCAATTATTCCCCGCTGTCCTGTATTCGTCAGTGCTTCTAAAATGATTTCTGTAGTTTTTTTGGGATCCTCAAGAGGCTTCGCAAGCAATAGGGAAAAATAAGGAACTTGTGACAAAAATTTATAGCATGCAAATGCAAAACACAAAGAACTTTATAAGACATGAGCTACGCCACGTGCACCTACATCACTTCATAAAGAAGTTAATGGTCTCTGCACAATCCTCTATTTCATAGACAAAATGTCCATACCACAAAGCTTAAGAACTGTTTAATTAATATGCATCAGTTATTCATGGCAGAGTATCGATACCAAATCACCAACCCAAACTTTGCTGACTAGTTTTTTGAATTAGAGCAGAGAAAGTGTAAAAAAAAAAGTCAAAGCAAAAAAATATTTCAGTTCTTCTTCAAGTGTCAAATAAGAAGAATATAACTCTTTCACTTGATTTCCTACTAAAACAAAAAGATTTATATACAGGATGAAGCACATCAATAACTTCAAACAAAAATAGCATACCATACTTCCAAAACCTATATATATAGGTTTCGGTCCACTTTGGATCCAGTTAACAAAGTTTTCCGAAGGCTCAAACTTTGAGCCAAGATTTAGGAAACAATAGCCAACAACATCAACAAGAGGCCCCCAATCTGCAAGGTAATAAATTAAATGAATAATTTTTTCAAAGGATATGATGGTGAACCAACAATTTTCAAATAATAATAGAATTGCAATGATTTTTTCTCAACAGCTATGTCATGCTACTGCAATGAACTAAATTCTTTGAAGTGTTTGCAAAAACTACAATCAGAGGGAACTGTGAAGAATGGAAATCAAGAGTGGAGGAAATGGAAAATCCTGAAAAAAGTCAGTGAAACCATATTCAGTTAGTAAACTCCTACCCATCAAAGGATATCATCTCATAAACTTTATTCCTTTCATCCTGGTTGAACTTGTGACACCAGCTGCTTTGGCTTAATGAAATGTTTGACACTTTAGTGAATCTATTTCTGCAATCATACCTCTCACATCCCTTGACATGCCAAACTTGAATAATAAAATACACATCTTTTTCAATGTTCAAACAAACTCCAATCCCAAACTTTATTCGCAAATTTGGATTCCAAATACATTTGACAAATCGAAGTTAAGAGCATTGGCACCCATACATTGAGTTAATCTCCACTTCCTTAACCATTGGGCTAAGTTACAAAAACATATCAGAGGGACCAAGAACTATTGAAATTAGCTATGGAGATTTTAGCCATTAAGAACTCTTCTATACAGATTAGCAAACTAATCCAACTACATTTGAAGACCGTTGGCGACATTTACTTAATACGCTTATTATCTCAACTCCATAAGCATATAATACAATAATCATATTGAAGGTGGTTAAGCTACTCGAGATAGTTCAGCAGAAGATCACCCAAGCACGAAGCAAATGACACATAACTTAAGGTGAAACACAGCTTGTTGAAACTTGGTAGGTAATATACCAAGTTTTAGCAATATTAATCATCAACTTGTTCAGTTCAGTTCATTAAAACTCCTATTAGGGCTTTATGACCTAAGTACACAATGCTTAAGCAAAAATAGAGACTCATTGTCCTCAACAAAATTATACATAAATCCAAACTATAGATGTCAGCACTCAAGATACTCATCTTTTGTAATCCTTAATACACTAAATTTGGAGTGTGATAATGCTCTTAATGTCATTTTGTCAGATAGTACACATACAATTTAAAAGAGATCCATTTATGTAAATAAACAAGCATAATGTGGATCCAAACAAGATGCTGAAAAGGGTACAAAAATTGCTACAAATAGTATTTAGCAGAAAAAATAATGCAGAATATTCCAAAAATTATAGTCCAACAGATCATAACTAACACAAGAATGCAC